CGGCGCCGCGGGGGCCCTGGAGGGCGCTTCCCAGGAGAGGGGCGGAGGAGGGTGACAGGGCACCGGCCCCTCCGGCTGGGAGGACGCCTTGAGAACGTCAGCAGCCCTCTGCCCCTTCCCCTCCTCTGCTCCCACGGGAGAGCCGCAGAGAGTAGGCCCGAGGGGCCGGACCCCAGAAGGGACAGGCGACCCTTCACTGGGCCATGGACTCCAGCCATTCCCACCCACACCCCTCCAGGCACTGCGACTTTCTGAGTTTTTCTCAGAGTTCTATGGGCTGCTAATGCTTTGTCCCCTACCCCATCCCCATCCCCACCCCCTGGAATCTACACCTGCAGCAAAGACCCCCAGCTTCTCCACCACATCCCAGGGCTCCTCCTTTCTTTCTCCCTCCACTCCCCAGTTCCAGCACCAGCAGTCATAGGAGTGGAGGGGTCCTGGCTCGCCCCTACTCTGCAATAGCCTGGACGTCCCCCCACCCCAAGAAGGTAACCGAGGCCATTCTTCTCTCTGGGGACTCCAGGCCTGCTCAAGGCCAGACCCAGCCAATCTTCAAAGCCAACCCTGGAGCAAGGAAACTGCTCACTCCACCTGCCACACCTTACAACAGGCTCTGGGGATAGATTATCTTTTTTCTTTCAGGACAGAATAAAAATACCCACAATTTAGGAAATTTAATAGACAGCAGGGAATCAGGTCAGGACACTAAGGTGCCACTTCCCTTCCCTGACCTATTTCGCGTGACAGCAAGGAGCTGGGACGCTGGGTGTAGGAGCGGGGATAAAGGGGTACCCTGGCTTCTAGGAGCTGGGGCCTAGGAACTGGAAAGCAGCCCAGAGGAAGAGTGTGAATGCTGTGCACCAACGGGGAAATTCTCCAGAAGAGAGATAAGAGTGGGGACAGGAGAAAGCACTGTGTGGGCTGGAAATGATGGGTTCCCTGGCACTGAGATCAGAAAGAGGAACTAAGAAAGGAAACAGCTAACGGCTCTCTAATCGTTTAGAATGCCAGGTCTTTCTTCCTCAGAACCCAGGGTCCCAGAGTCGACCTCCTCCAACACTAACCCCTCTATTCTCTTACTATGGGACAAAGCAGGGCCTATTTGTAAGTTCTTCCTGAGGTCTAATTTAAATCCCAACTTGGCTGACTCAGACAGGATGAGATAGCCTGTAGCTTCCAGCTGCAGCTTCTTGCTGCCCTCATGTGGCCACGTGACAAGCCACAACTCGGGTGTTTTACTATTTCCCTCACTTTTTCTGGTCTGCCCAGGTTATCTCCCACCTCCTTACCTTGCCTGAGATTAAGGTGAGAAGTCCTAGGACAGAATTCCAGCTCCTGCCCCGGTATCTTAGTACATTTCTTCATCTGGGGTACCCGTGGTCTGTACTGTAAAATCTCCTGTAAGAGCTCGGACTGAAACAAAAACTTGGCAATAAAAGCAAATGATATGCAAAAAAAAATTTAATGTAAGCCTCTAGAACTTAAGTGTACATTAGAAGCAGATTAAAGAAGGCTTATCAAAACAGATTTGTGGACTCCGGCCCTAAATTTCTAACGCAGTGGGTCTAGGATGTGGCTGGAGAAACATTTCTAATACGTACCAAGAAGATAGTACTGGTCCCAGGACCCCATTTTGAAAGGGGCTGATCTAGAATTCTCTAGTTCTTTGCATTTTCTAACCACCCTTCGTCTACACAGAAAGAAAATGGTGGAGATGGTGAAAGGCATGTTAACGCAAGTGGGAGAAAACAAACAGATTTCAAGTAATTCATTTAAGAACTTTGAAAAAACATATAGGAGGGGGCACCCGGATTTGAACCGGGGACCTCTTGATCTGCAGTCAAATGCTCTACCACTGAGCTATACCCCCTCTGCTGGTCACTGCCTCTCAGATGGTTTCTTATTGTAACTCCTGCGCAGGCGCCCTGGCAAAACTTTAAAGAGACGGAAGAAGTGGAGTTCGGCGTTTTTTAGGTGGAAATAATACAGAGGGAGCCAAAATAATATACACAAATTGTAAGAAATAAAAAAACTATTAAAATTGTATCAAGTCACGTTTGACTTCTGCAATTACAAGAGATACAATATATAATATAGACGATAACAAGTGTTACTGGTATATACTGAGTATTACAATTTTAATACAGTTTGCTTAAACGTGTATACAATTTTTTTGCATCCTCTGTATAAATCCTAGATTACTCACTTGGAAGCAGTTGTTTCCTGAAGTTCTGAACTAAGATTTCTGATGGTGTAAAAAGAAAAGGTAATCTGATTGTGTGGAAAGGAAGGTCTCTGGAGAGGCTTTCAGATCCTTCACTTCGGGGTTGTTCATCTGGGCTGGAATGCCACTCTCCTTCCCTGTTGGAGCCCCCTTACTGCTTCTGGGTGCCTCTTTCTCTCGCGCATATGTTCGCGCGGCTTCTACAGAGCTTTCTTCCCCACTGCCCTTAGAAACTCAGCCTCCCTCTCCCCTGGAAGAGCCGTGGTGGCCTTTGGCCAGGCCGACTTGGGGGGTGTGCCTGCCTTGGCCCTATTGTTACAGGAGAGGGCCATTTGCACCGTCCTACATAGGCCAGCCCGGAGCTCCACGCTCTCATTTGCACTGCATTCAAACCTTGGACATACATACAGGACAGGCCACTCGCAGAGCCCAGGATTCCATCTTTACCGCCGGCAAAAGAAAAATGGTGGCCGGGCCCGAGGATCCATACTCTTCTGTTGACTAGAGAACTACCAAAATATGAAAGATCACATTTAGAGAGGGGGCACCCGGATTTGAACCGGGGACCTCTTGATCTGCAGTCAAATGCTCTACCACTGAGCTATACCCCCTTCACGACTTTTTGTCTCATTAGAATAAATTTAAGGAGAATAAGGATATGGTATTATCCACCTTTCTTTTACAGTTTTGGTTTGTATGCTGCTTGGGACAGACCAATAGAAAGAACAAGATGAGGATAACTAAACTTCTGAGTTCTTTCCCCACAGTCCTACCTCACAAAAACTCCATGATTAAGATCTCGCGCTCAGACTTTCCCCCAAGTGTCCATTGCCTGGTTTGGGGAAAGAAGAGTCTCCCTGTTCGCAGGACCATCCCAGGTGTTTTAGGGTAACAGCCCTGCTTCCTGTATACGATGGGCAGCATGAGTCTCCCTCCTGTCTCTACTTCTATAGATAGGACTCCCGGGCTTTTCCTACCCCGAAGGTCCCTCCTTTTTTTACCTTGACTCATTATCAAACCTCTCCCTCCCCTAGGCCAAGGCAGAACCAAGAGCTCCTGCTCCCCCCTGGCTAGGTACCAGTGCCCTACAACCAGAACCAAGAAGCCAGTCTCCTGGCCAGATGGGCCCTTGAGGCAGCTTTCCACGCCATTTCTTTGCAACAACAAAAAAAAGTAATAAAAAATAAAATACAGGGGCGGCGCCAGTGGCTCAGTGGGTAGGGAGCCGGCCGCATGTACAGAGGGTGGCGGGTTGAAGCCCGGCCCGGCCAAACTGCAACAAAAAAATAGCTGGGCGTTGTGGCGGACCGGACGCCTGTAGTCCCAGCTACTCCGGAGGCTGAGGCAAAAGAATCGCCTAAGCCCAGGAGTTGGAGGTTGCTGTGAGCTGGGACGCCACAGTACTCTACCGAGGGCGACAAAGTGAGACTCTGTCTCTAAAATAATAATAATAATGCATAATAAATTTTTAATAATATTTTATTAAATAAAACAAAAAGCCAGTTTGAGGAACAGGGAGAATGGGCAGGCAGAAATCAGAGGTGAGCAGTTTTCAGTGATTTTTATTATACCTTTATAAAAATTCTATTACAATATATATTTTTCAGTTTTTACAAAAAGACAAAATAAGCAGACCTTATAAGATCTTGGGATAGTTGGGAAGAATGGGAGTCACATTGGCAAGACACTGGAAGTGAAAGGGTACCATGGAGAGGGTTAAAATCCAAAAACTGTGGTCAGAGTCAGCATCTCTGAGGGAACAGGAAGGCGAGGAAGGAATGAGACCCCTTGGTGTCCAGTGTCCAATGGAGGTCTCCATCTGGGACATCCTATCCTCTTCCTTCTCCCCTTCCATTGTTTGACTGAGCCCTCCTGCTCCTGAGCCCACCCATTTCTGCCCCCTAGGATGTCCTTTGCCCACAGAGTATCAGACAAAAATAGCTAATGGGCCAGAATGCTGGGGGGAGGGAGAGGAAATAAGGAGCAATTCCAGGGGTTTCTTACTGTGCCCACACACACAAACATACATTTTCCTGCAGAGGGCTTAGGGCAGAGGAGAGGAAGAGGCTCTACCACATCTAATAGTTTCCCTAGTACCTCTGGGAGAGGCACTTACAGCAGCCATGGAGTAAAGATTTTCTACTGTCCTGCCTGCAACCATGCAAGGTGTACAGTCCTAGTCCTCAGGGAGGGGTTGGGCAGGCGATGGCAATCTCATTATCCATATCTGTCCCTGCTCCCACCAGAGAATCATAAAAAAGTAATAAATAGCCACTTGGGTTTCCCACCCGTGTTAACCAACCCCAATGTTTCTGGTTGGCCTCAGGCTGGGACATCAGTTAGCTGTGACCCGAGATTGCATCCACTGGAGACCAGCAGGCAGCCTGCAGGGAGGGAGGAATAGGAAGGATCAGTATATCCCAAAAGGATGGTCCTTCAAGCCCCTAGCCCCTGCCTGGAAGAAAGAGCGAAGGGTGTACCAAAGTTATAGCCAATCATTCAGTCAACAAAGACAGAGTGGGCTCGGGGCCTGTAGCTCAAGCAGCTAAGGCGCCATCTACATATACCAGAGTTGGGGGGTTCAAATCCAGCCCCCGTCTGCCAAACAACAATGACAACTATAATCAAAAAATAGTTGGCGACTCGGTGCCTATGGCTCAACTGGCTAAGGCGCCAGCCACATACACCTGAGCTGGTTGGGTTCGAATCCAGCCCGGACCCGCCAAACAGCAATGACGGCTGCGACCAAAGGCGTTGTGGCGGGCACCTGTAGCCCCAGCTACTTGGGAGGCTGAGGCAGGAGAATCCCTTCAGCCCAGGAATTGGAGGTTGCTGTGAGGTGTGATGCCACAGTACTCTACCCAGGGCGACAGCTTGAGGCTCTGTCTCAAAAAAAAAAAAGTTGGGCATCGTGGAGGGAGCCTGCAGTCCCAGCTACTTGGGACACTGAGGCAAGAGAATCGCTTAAGCCCAAGAATTGGAGGTTGCTGTGAGCTGTGATGCTACATAACTCTACCCCTACCCAGGCAACAGCTTGAGGCTCTGTCTCAAAAAAAAAACAAAGACAAAGTGACACAAGTGCCTTTTACATATCAGGTACTGTGCTAGGGCAAGGGTTACTAGTAAAAAAGTAGACACACCTTTGGTGGCTGACAGGCTAGCAGAGGAGATGGATAGTAAACAAATGGTCAAACAATTCTATGACTACATACAGTGATAAAGGATAGGAAGGAGATGTACAGAGGCCTCTGGAGGTGTAAGAGTCAAGGAGGGCTTCCCCAAGACAGAAGCCTGGAGATCTACCATCCTTAGCATTACGAAATGCTGGTTGAATTAAACTGACTGTGGGTTGGGGAAGGTGGCCTCCTGAGCCAAGGGGAACAAAGACTCTGCCAGAAATGTGTAGTACCTTGGGCTGACTTGCCAAAATTCTCTCCTTCTTCCTAAGGGATTTGAGTGTCCACCCTGCCACTATTCCACTTGAGAGAGAAAAGGAAAAGGAATTTTCCAGGCCTGATACAAGACCTTTTCTTTTTTTTGCATTTTTTGACCAGGGCCAGGTTTGAACCCACCACCTCCAGTATATGGGGCTGGCGCCCTACTCCTTGAGCCACAGGTGCCACCCTACAAGACCTTTTCTATGGTATATGGCTGGGCTCTTTTACATCCATCCTTCAGGTGTTCGCTCAACAGCTACCTTCCCAGCAGCCCCCTGGCTAGAAGCCTTTTCTAAAATTGCAGCACTCCCTCCACATACTTGCGATCTCTCTTCCTCATTCTTTTTTCACCCTTAGCATTTATCACTTTTTAACTTACTATATATTTTTCTGACTTATTGTCTGTCTCCCCCCATTGGAAACTAAGCTCCATGAGGGATTTTTTTTTTTTTCTTTTTGAGACAGAGCCTCAAGCTGTCACCCTGGGTAGAGTACTGTAGCATCACAGCTCACAGCTACTTCTAACTCCTGGGCTTAAGCAAATCTCTTGCCTCAGCCTCCCGTAGCAGAACCACAGGTGCTCGCCACAACACCCAGCTATTTTTTGGTTGTAGTTGTCATTGTTGTTTGGCAGGCCTAGGCTGGATTTGAACCTGCCAGCTCTGGTGTAGTGGCTGGTGCCTTAGCTGCTTGAGCTATAGGCGTCAAGCCAAGAGCAGGGATTTTTGTTTTTCCAAGCCCCAGAACAAAATCTGGCACAAAGTAGGTGCTCAGTAAAAATCTGTTAGGTTGGCTGGGCACAGTTGGCTCACACCTGTAATCTTAGTACTCTTGTAGGCTGAGGTGGGAGGATTATTTGAGCTTAGGAGTTCAAGACCAGCCTGAGCAAGAGCGAGACCCCATCTCTACAAAAAATAGAAAAATTAGCCAGGCAGGGTGGCAGAGGCCTGCAGTCCCACTCACGAGGTTAAAGCACAAGGTTCACTTGAGCCTAGGGGTTTGAGGTTGCTGTGGGCTATGATGACACCACTATACTACCCTCCAGGCTGAGGAACAAAGTAAGACTCTGTCTCCCTCCCCACCAAAAAAAATAAAAAATTTGTTAGATGAATGGTGTTATTTATTCTCCACAGAAACACTAGGAAGAAGACTTATCTTATAGATAAGAAAACTCAAAGAGAGAGTTGTTCTTTGGGTCTTCCCATGGCTGTCTCCTCTTCATTAGATCTTAGCTTAAAAGTTACCTCCTGGAAGAGCCCATCCCTGCCCTGCCCCCTCTATCATTGTAATCCAATTTAACTTTCTTCTTACCAATTCTCAGTACCTAAAAGTATTGTGTCTAGGTGGAGGGTTACCTCTCTCTCCACTAGGATAAGCCCCTTGAGAGCAGGGACACTTTCTCACTCTCCACTTAACCCACAGCATCTCAACTGTGGGGAGGTGCTCAACTGACTAGTCCAGGAGCCCACTGTGAGCCAGATTCTGACAGGAGAAAGTCAGGAGAAGGGTATTGATGGGCAATCATCCATTGGTTGGGCCGGGTCCTGGAGGTTTAGGTGGGGCAGCCACTTACCCTTCCCCAGTAAGAGCACAGCACCCTTGTATATGCCATGGGTGGTCTTTGATGGCACTGAGAGTAAGTAATCGGGAGATCTCCCCAGTACTCATGGAGTCCTTCCTGTCTTGCTTGTTGGCAAAGATCAGGACTGAAGCTTCTCGCAGAGCCTGTGGATAGAGGAGCACAGCTCCAGTCAGCTGGTCAGGCCCTGCCTCTCTTCCCATTAGTCAATGAGTCCTCCCCAGTTGCCTCCCCAGCTGTCCCTGCAAAAGAAGCCAATGCCCAGGTAAGGCAAAGTTGGGGTCTCCAATGGTAGCCACCACATCAAATGCCACTCACAGCTCATGGAATGCCTCCCAACCGGCTGATGTAATCCTTACAACAATCCCATGAGGTAGAATCGATGAATCTCCCCACGTTATAGCTGGGGAAAAGATTAGAGGGGTGAAGTAACTGTCCAGGCTCCCACAATGAATGAGAAATGGAGTCAGAACTTGAACCAGCAATTCTGGCTCCTGTGATTAATTCCACTGAAGGCATTGGCACCCTTTATCAGGGATAAACTAGTCCTCCCCATGCTACTGGGTAGGAGGCTGTCAGAGACTGGGTCATCAGGAATGAAGCTCAGAGAGGCTCAATAATTAGTCTCAGGGCACACCATATCACCGCCCCTCTCCCAGCAGCAGGAGTTACCTCATGGGCCAACATCTTATACAGCTCTTCTCGAGTGGTTAGCAATCGATCCCGGTCCGTGCTGTCAATCACAAGGATGATGAACTGGCAGCAGAGAGGGGCCATGAGTGGTGGCTTTCTCTTTGGTGAACGTATTTCCTGCCCACTATGCTCCCACGCTGGCCTCTGTACTGCCTGGATGTCAGCCCCAAATGAAAAACTACAATGTGAAGATCTCACCACTCTAGTCCCATTTTAGTTGCCTTTTCTATCTGGACATGGGAAGTACACGACACACATGTGTGCGTGTGAGTGTGTACCAGGGGCTGTGTGAGGCACTGGGTTATTTCTGATTCCATAAGGCCTTACCACAACTCTGTGGAATTGGTGCTATTATAATTTTTTTTAAGACAGACTCTCACTTTGTTGCCCTCGGTAGAGTGCTATGGTGTCACAGCTCACAGCAACCTCCAGCTCTTGGACTTAGGTGATTCTCTTGCGTCAGCCTCCTGAGTAGTTGGGACTACAGGCACCCGCCACAATGCCTGGCTATTTTTTTGTTGCAGTTTGGCCAGGACCGGGTTTGAACCCACCACCCTCAGTATATTGGGCCGGTGCCCTACTCACTGAGCCACAGGCACGGCCCTATTTATTTATTTATTTATTTGGAGATAGACCCTCACTCTGTCACTCCAGGGTAGAGTGCTATAGCATCATCATAGCTCTTAGCAATCTCAAACTATTGGGCTCAAGAGCTCCTCTGGCCTCAGCCTCCCAAGTAGATAGAACTACAGGTGCCCCCCACAATGCCTGGCTAGTTTTTCTACTTTTAGTAGAGACAGGGTCTCATTCTTGCTCAGGCTGGTCTCCAACTCCTGAGCTCAAAGGATCCTTCTGCCTGCCTCAGCCTCCCAGAGTGCTAAGATTACAGGCGTGAGCCATCACACCCAGTGGTATTCAAAAATTTTAACAGACACTGCACTGTTAAGTATTCAACACATATACATTAGCTATTTTTTATTTTTTCATAATTTTCACAACAACCCATGGAGATCATTATTATGATCTCTGGTAATGATCTTCATTTCACAGACGGGAAACTGAGGTTCAGAGAGGTTGACTGGTTGATATCACACAGCTGCCTTGGGAACTCTCTAGCCCTGGTGCCCTCCTCACCTCAGTGTTGGAGTAGTACATGTTCCAGGCAGAGCGCAGAGCCTCCTGGCCTCCTATATCCCACATGATGAAGTGGGTCTTCCGAAGAATGATCTCCTCCACATTGCTACCAATAGTGGGACATGTATGGACCACCTCATTCATCAGGCTGGAGAGGTAGAAGAGGGCACCAAGAGCTCAGCTCAGTCCATTCCCAACTCTGGCCTCCCACCCCTCTACTTCCCAAGGCAGGCTGAATCTCAGCCCAGATTGACTGAGCATCTGCTAGGGGCCAGGCCATATGTGGCACAGGGAAATGAAGGTGGGAGTGAGATCAAGCCCTACCCTGCTTGGACCCCAGAGAGGGGAGACTTCTTATCACCATTTTTTCAAACTTTAATATAGAATTGAATCGGCTGGAAGTCTTGTCAGAATGCAGATTCTGACACTATGGGTCTGGGCTGAGGCCTGGGGTTTTGTATTTCTGACAAGGTCTCCCCAGAAGATATTCATGCTGCTGGTCCATGGACCACACTTCTACTAGCAAGGAGTTAGAGAGATGAGACAGACACAGTGAGGGACATCAGAAAAGTGCTTTATATGAAGAGATGGGGAGAACACACATGTTTGTATATGTAAATAATGCTCCTGAAAGGTTACCAAGAAGTTACAACAGGAGGAAAACTGGAAGTTCGAGGTAAGAAGAAAACTTACTTTTCACTGTGTTCCTCTGTTTGAAGTTTCTTTTCTAGTTTTTTAAAATTTTACAGATATTACTTTTTCAGGAAAAATCCTGTCCTATGTAAAGTACATTGAAGGCTCCAAAATGGGAGAGAGGCCATCCAGAGAACGAGTATGCGGGAAGCTGCAATGGGTGTTTACCCAGGACCCTCCATGTGTACCAGGCTCCCTGAGACCAGGAGCTGGCAGGAGCTCAGTCCCCTTGGCTTTGAAGAAGGGGAAGAAAGTTAACAGGCAGAGGGTGCAGGGCTGACAACAGAGGGACCTGCACCTGAGGGAGTGCAGCACCCGGAGACAGGAAAACAGAGACACCTGTCAGGGCTGTAACAGGGCCTGGCAGGGACACAGGGTAGAGGCCAAGAGGCAACAAGATATGGGGTTGTCTATACCTGGCAGGATTCAAATGCCAGGCCAAGAGGCCACTAAGCCACGAAAGTCACACCAGCGTTCCCCCATCATCCCTCCCAGCTACGGGGACCCAAGGAGACGCTTCAGTTATTGGTCCAAATGCCTGTCAGTCTGGTGGAAGGACCAGTCCTCTCCTGTCCCCACCGAGGGTCACTTACAGCTGGTAAAGAATGGTAGTCTTCCCTGCGTTGTCCAGTCCCACGATGATAACCTTGTGCTCTGGAGGCATCGGCGGAAAGGCAGAATCAGGACCAAACCCGTTGGCCAAGGGACTGCACTCCCCCCACCCCTCGCTTCCCTGGCCTCCCCAGAGGGAGACAAATGCTTCCCTGCCGGCTGGGGGACTCTAGCTGACATACCACTTCTGCTTCCCACCCTGCGCGGACATCTGTGCCACTCCGGGACAGTGGAAAAGAGAGTTGAGCCCCTACTTGACCCCACCTCACTTCGCGTTTCTAGAAAATCGATTGTCTGAAAGGTCCAGAGCGCTCTGGGCTTGCCAAAACAAAGAACCCGGGGAAAGAGTTGAGCGCAAAGTCACAATCGCAGGAAACCCGCGGCCGCCCCCACCCCAGCCTCCGGCGCGGTATAGAGGGGAGAAAGGAAACTGGCCTGAGGTGCATCGACCCAGGAGGAGCAGCAGGGACGCTGTGGTACGGGAGAAAGAGACCGCGGAGCAGAGGTCCTCCAGCGCCTCTGACTCCGGGTCAGGAAAGCCCTAGAACAGAGTAGGATCAAAGCAGTTGTTTGGCTGCCCTACACGTCCCTTACCCTGATTACCAAAGATGCTCATCAACTTGGCAATCAGCTGTCCCATGTCACGTCCCAGGCAGTGCAAGTGAAGGACTTAGACGCCTCTGGAGCGAGAGTGGGTCCCGGCGGTTGGAGCCCCACCACCTGGGGAGGACCGGGCAGGCTAAGACTAGGATGTCTGGGGAAGCCCCACGCGTCACCAGCGGGAATCCCCTGGGACGCTGGCCCCTCGCGGGTGCTATGAACACCCCGGTGATTGCAAGCTGCCTGCCTGTCCAGGACCCTGGAGGTGCAAGGAAAATGAAGTCTAGACTCTTCACCCTCCCCCGGCCCTGTGGAAACTCCAAAGAGTTCCCTGGGTGGACTGCTCCCTGACCGTAAATCATGGAAGGTTAAACACAATGATGAAAAGCAGACCCCAGCTCCCTCTCTTCCTGCCGAAGCAAAACTAGGCCCGTTGTGGTGATTTATGCCTGTAATCCCAGCACTCTGGGAGGCCGAGGCAGGCGGATTTCTTGAGCTCAGGAGTTGGAGAGCAGCCTGATAAAAAGGGAAAAAACTAGCCGGTTGGCAGATACCTTGTAGTCCCAACTACTTGGGAGGCTGAGGCAAAAGAATCACTTAAGCCCAAAAGTTTGAGGTTGCTGTGAGCTGTGATGCTACAGCACTCTACTGAGGGCGACATAGTGAGACTCTGTCTCAAAAAAATAAAAAAATAATAAATATATATACGTGTGTGTGTGTGTGTGTATTTAAGGTTCCGTGCCTGTAGCTCAAACAGCCACACACACTGGAGCT